ATCGTAAATTTTCGTAAGTTTACGCTCGCGTAAAAACTTGCGGAGGTTTACGCCTATTTATTTTTGCTGATGTATTAACTAAATAGAGTATGAATACGTTAATACTAATTGTGGAAAAGAATAGACATTTTTGGTTGCTTTTTACTTATATAAATTTAGTAAAATAGTGATTTTTTTTTTTTTGAATTTTCATTCAAACGTTGATAGAAATAAATTTTTCTCAGGCAAAGAGTCCAATAGATCTGCGAATAGAACTAATGGAGCACTATTTGGTAATCATTCAGCTCCATTGACTTGGTTGATCGGATATATACAAATTTGGTGAATTACAATTGAACATATCTAGCCAAAATTAATATAGCAGAAGTTTGATTAGTCTGATTTATCACTAGTATTACCTAGATAATTTGTTAGAACAAGTAGATTTAGTAAATAGGTTAATTGCTATAAATACAATGTCTTTTGTTTTTACAAAAATGAACATCTCCGGTTTTATATAAATTTATGTTTATTGTTGCATTCTGTGCTATCATCCAGTCCTGAAAATAAATTTGATGGAGTCTCTATGCTATCCTCTGGTCTTGGAGGATAATTTTTTTTTTATCAGAATTGAGAGTGCAATGTTAAACTGAGATTGCTTGGGCCTAAGTCTGCTCGTGAATCTTGCAAATAAGAAAAAAAATAAATTAGTTAGGAGCCAATTCGACTCTTTTGGAAAATTTTTAGGTGCATTAGCAGCTCTATGGGTGGACATTGAAGGAGTTTCAGCAGAAGAGGTATCGCATAATAATCAAATGAAAATTGCAGATTTTGGCCTTTCTATAATTTATGGTTCCAATTCAGTTAACCAAAAATATGGCTACCAGCATTTATTGATCCTCAATGTCTTCAATGTCTTCTAAATGATTTTATGAATACTAGGTAAAATAATGATATGATTATAATGAATTTATATTGTTGAAATTGTGTTGTAATTTGGAGGTGATTTATATCATTTGGGTCATTTAATTTTATTAGGATTTTAGAGTTAACTTATTTTGAAAATAAGGTTTGAAAAGTCTTAGTAGGAATATTTTCCTTAATTATTCTATCAGAAATTATTCGTAACATACATTCAAATATTATCATCCTTATACGTTAATACTAATTGTGGAAAAGAATAGGCATTTTTGGTTGCCCCTAAAAAATGACAATCTAAAATCTGAAAATTGGAAAATATGTTTATGTTTAATTCACACAGATACTTTAACTTGTATAAATTTAGTAAAATAGAGGTTTTTTTTTTTTAAATCTTCATTCAAATGTTGATAGAAATAAATTTTTCTCGGGCAAAGAGTCCAATAGATCTGCAAATAGAACCAATAGAGCACCATTTAATAATTATTCAGCTCCATTGACTTGGTTGATCAGATGTATACAATTCGGTAAATTACAATTGAACATATCTAGCCAAAATTAATATAGCAGAAGTTTGATTAGTCTGACTTATCGCTAGTATTACCTAGATAATTTGTTAGAACAAGTAGATTTAGTAATTAGTTTGATTGCTATAAATACGATGTCTTTTGTTTTGACAAAAACGAACATCTCCGGTATCATATAAATTCATGTTTTTTGTTGCATTCTGTGCTATCCTTCAGTCCTGAAAATGAATTTGATGGAGTCTCTATGCTATCCTCTGGTCTTAGAAGAGATTTTTTTTTTTTTTATCAGAATTGAGAGTGCAATGTTAAACTGAAATTGCTTGGGCCTGAGTCTGCTCATGAATCTTGCAAATAAGAAAAAAAAAATCAGTTAGGAGCCAACTCGACTCTTTTGGAAAATTTAGGTGTGTCAGCAGCTCCGTATAGGTGGACATTGAAAGGAGTTTCAGCAGAAGAGGTATCACATAATAATCAAATGAAGATTGTAGATTTTGGCCTTTCTATAATTTATAGTTCCAATTCAGTTAACCAAAAATATGGAGTACCAGCATTTATTGATCCTCAATATCTTCAATGTCTTCTAAATAATTAGTAGAGGATACTGCGATATTTTGATATTGATCAATGAATATATTTTGGAATGCTTCAGTAGTTCTATTATAAATACTAGGCGAAATAATGATATGATTATAAGCATGTGGAGAGGAGGAAGAGTACACTTATAATCTTAATTGCATTAATCTTAATAGGGATTTGCTATGCGAATAAATTTAAAAGACTTAATGAATTTGAATCGTTGGAATTGTGTTGTAATTTGGAGGTGATTTATATCATTTTGGGTCGTTTAATTTTATTAGGGTTTCAGAGTTAACTTATTTTGAAAATAAGATTTGAAAAGTCTTAGTAGGAATATTTTCCTTAATTATTCTATCAGTACATTTCATATCAGCCAAATTTAAATTGAATAACATTCTGAAGTTGTCACATGTAGACATAGCAATTATCAAGAATTTTCTTCATTACATATAAAAAAGATAATAAAGGAAGTATTTGTTGAAGTATTTTGAACCATTTAAAGTTCCAAAAGAAATTTGTACAAAAACAAGATCTATGATTACTGGGTACACAACAAATATCCTGACGAAAGAAAAAATGAAGGCTTAGGAAAACATGTCATAAAAGTTTATTGAGTGGTATTAGTAGACAGAGATATTTAAGTTGTTTTGATTAAGAAGTTGTAAATATTGAAATATTTGGATTTTTTAAAGTTGGGAGATAGATTAGTTAAGATAAGTTTGTGTTTAATGTAAAAATTCAATAAAAAAAAAACATCTCGATTAGATATAATAGTTTCAATTATTATTTTCACTAAATTCATTTTAAATAAAATATAGCATAAAATATAATCGAGAACATTTTTTAATTTAAATATTTGTAAAAAATTATCAAACAAGATTTAAATTATATAAAATATATTGTTAATTAACTAGTCAATTCTTAAATCGCTTGTTCAGTAAATAATGTCATAAATTCTATAAAAATCCATGAAAGAAAAAAATCAAATAAAAACAGAAAGAAATCTAAAAACAATTAAATGACGTCGAAATTGGAACAAGACCTTAAAAAATATCTCAAATATATAAAAGAAGAAATTTATAATCAAGATCTCAAGGAAGTAAAATTAACATATGATCAATTTAATAATGAATTAATGAAATCCATGCTAACTTATGATCAAAAAGATAGCATACAAAAGCAACTTCTCATAAATGATTGGATAATCGACAAATCAGTATCTATCGCTATTGATGAATTTAGCTTAACAAACTTTGAAGACACAATTAAAATTGTATTAAAAATAGTTAATGGTGTATAGCTTCTATTATTATTATTTTTTTTTTAATATTGAGGTGACCACTTAGGCCCCTGGCACTTTATTAGTTCAAACGGGTGGGCCGTCCGAAGA